CATGGCTCAGTTATCAGCTTTCTTGTCCATTTGGTGGAGGGGTGGGTTACAAGTGTTCCACACCAAGCAGTTCACATTCACTTGACACCAGGTTTCCTCATTCGCCCATGGGCCAATGGTTGCATTCTGCTGGCTATTTTATTTTATTTGTTGTGTCAGGGCAACCAGTCAATTGTATTACATTTCTAACAGAACAAAACAAACAAACAAACAGACAAAACACAAAATTTGCAAGCTTGGTAGTTGATTAAATGTCCTTTGACCAGTATCTGGCCACTTGAAGTGCCTCTGGTGTTGCCGCGAGGAGGTCCTCCATTGCGCATGTGGCAGGGCTCAGGTTGCATTGCAGCAGGTGGTCTGTGGTTTGCTCCTCTCCACACTCACATGTCAAGGATTCCACTTTGTAGCCCCATTTCTGAAGGTTGGCTCTGCATCTCGTGGTGCCAGAACACAGTCTGTTCAACGCCTTCCAAGTCTTCTGTGTGCCCAGGGGGGAGTCTCTCATTTTGTATCAGCCATTGGTTGAGGTTCTGGGTTTGAACCTGCCACTTTTGGACTCTCGCTTGCTGAGATGTTCCAGCGAGTGTCTCTGTAGATCTTAGAAAACTATTTCTAGATTTAAGTCGTTGACGTGCTGGTTGATACCCAAACAGGGGCTGAGCTGGAGATGTCTCTGCCTTGGTCCTTTCACTATTGGCTGCTACTTCCCGGCGGATGTCAGGTGGTGCAATACCGGCTAAGCAGTGTAATTACTCCAGTGGTGTAGGGCGCAGACACCCCGTGATAGTGCAGCATGTCTCATTAAGAGCCACATCTACCATTTTAGTGTGGTGAGATGTGTTCCACACTGGGCATGCGTACTCAGCAGCAGAGTAGCACAGCGCAAGGGCAGATGTCTTCACTGTGTCTGGTTGTGATCCCCAGGTTGTGCCAGTCAGCACAACCTATTGTTTCTAGCGCCCACTTTTTGTTTGATGTTCAGGCAGTGCTTCTTGTAGGTCAGAGCACGGTCCAGAGTGACTCCCAGGGATTTGGGTGCGCTGCAATGCTCCAGTGGGATTTCTTCCCAGGTGATCCTCAGAGCTCGGGATGCTTGTCTGTTCTTGAGATGAAAAGCACATCTCTGTGTTTTAGATGGATTAGGGATCAGCTGGTTTTCCCTGTAATAAGCAGTAAGAGCACCTAGAGCTTCGGAGAGCTTCTGTTCTACCATCTCAAAGCTCACTGCTTGAGTAGTAATGGCACGATCATCAGCATAGATGAATCTATGCTGGCTATTGTCAATGGCACTTGCATTTCCATTCCATCTCTGGCTTCTCCTCATTAAGATTTCATAGAAAGCAGCCTCAGGCCAGATTCATTTGAAAAAGATAGGATTGGTGTACCTGCCTTCCAAATGCTGAGATGCCATTAAGTGATTACGAGGTGAAGGACATCAGATCATACATTATTGGTTTTCCTTCACTCTCAGCTGGCAGAAGGATGGCTTCAATTGCCGTAAATAACCCTACAATTTGCCATGCAAGTGTCTCCCAGGTGACCGGTTAGGCTGAGAGGTTTCACTCTCTGAGAGGCAGGTTTCCCAAAGACTGGATTCATGCCCTGTGCTATGCTGAGAGCTATTAGCAATACAATTCTGGCTGTGCTTCATTCAACCACTGTTTCTTTGTATGTTCCCATCACTTTCCCTGCTCTTCTGTCTGTTCAACCTGCAGATCTTAAATGTAACACTCAGGATTTTGCAAGTAAATGACAACTCGTTGGGTCTCTGTTAGGAGACAGGCATCCATTTCCCATTGTCAACCAGGCCAACAAGGAATACAATCCATAGAAACATCAGTGATTAATTTAGAGGGAGGCTTGAAACTTAGGTGAATATGACTCCATTGGGTAGAGGCAAAAAAAAAGGCCTCATCAAGTTTCCGGGGAATTTGATAGCAGGAGGAGTTTTTGCTTCCTGGCAAAAGAAAATATGAATAGCTCTTTTTTGCTTTTCAACATGTATAAATGAAATGAAGAACACACCTGGCTGTGAATTGAGTGATTGCTTCAGGCAATCAATGCCAGCAGTGACTCCCAAACTTTACTCCTGTAAGTGTTTGGACTTCAATACCCAAAAGATTTGGAGGACCAGAGCTTGAGAAGGCTGGGCATAGACAAATGGTGGTAAATAACAACAACAACAACAACAACAACAACAACAAATGTATTACCTGCCTCCCCTTGTGGCTTGAAAGCACTAGAGGACAGAGGCTCAAAAACACTTGAAGACAGAGGCTCAAAAGCATTAGAGGACAGAGACTCAAAAGCACTAGAGGACAGAGGCTATAAAGCACTAGAAGACAGAGGGTCTAAAGCACTAGCAGACAGAGGCTCAAAAGCATTAGAGGACAGAGGCTCAAAAACACTAGAAGATAGAGGCTCAAAAGCACTAGCGGACAGAGGCTCAAAAGCACTAGAGGACGGAGGTTCTGAAGCACTAGCAGACCGAGGCTCAAAA